ATAGTCGGGGGGCGGGGCGGCGCGTCACATGACCGGCGCCGGGCTGCCCCAGGCAGGGGCACGCTGCCCTCCTGCCTGCCTGCCTGCCGGCGGCTGCCGCCTCTGGGCACACCCTGGAGATGGTCTGACGGGAGACCCCTCTGCCCACGCCTGGCAGGCTGGGCAGGGAGGGGCGGGGCGCGGGGAGCCAGCGCAGGGCTCGGCGGCCAGGTGAGGCTCGCGTGGCCGAGGCAGAGGGCGGAGGCGGGGACCCGGCAGGCCACGGGGGGCCGCTCCCACCCCTCCGTGGTCTCGGCTGGCAGTGCGCGGCGTGGCCTGGCGCCAGGCCCCGGTCGCTGCTCACTCTGTGGGTAACCGAGCCACCGGGTGCCACTGGCCGCCGCGTGTCTTGGTTTTCTCGACTGAAGTGAGAGCAGTTAGAGGAACCAGCTTTGTGGCGGGGCGGCGGCGGCGTGGGCCTGGCAGGTGCCTCTGCGGCTCGGGGCTCTGGTGTGTGGGGCTGGGCCCGGCCTCCCCCTGCCCGGCGCACAGCCACCACCGCACCCCTCGGCCGGGGCCGCTGCAGGCCTGGGAATGCCCACGTGGACGCAAAGGCCCCGGGTGCTGCCTGGCCTGGGGGACGTGCTTCGCCGTCAGGGTGCACTGCCCGTTCAGAGGGCAGCTGCCAGGAGGTGCCGCCCCGCCCTCGCCGGGCACGTGGTGTCGCTGTCCCCGGGAGTGTTCCCTGTGGGCCGAGGCCTCCCTGGCCTGCCCTTCTGACCACTTTCAAAGGCCACCGTCTTTCAGGACTTCCGGAACGATGCGGGCAGGAGCCCCGCGCCCTCCCGCTGCTGTCTTCCACGGCAGCCCTGGGCCGCAGCTGGCCTGTCGGAGTCCCTGGGCCGGGCCACGTGCCTGGAGCCAGCCCATCTCGGGAGCAGTGTGGGGCCCCACACCCTCACTCGGGCCGTGCCGGGGGATGGCCGGGTGGCTCCTGTCCCTCAGGACTGGGCGCCCTGCCGCTGCCTCCCGCTCCGGGGCCAGCTGCCTCGCCACCCCCCGCCGCCCCCAGGACCCGCCTCTTCCCAGCATCCTCCCCACCCCACCGGTCTGATCTTGAGTCCACACGGGGGCCCGGTGCCCCCCAAATGTGTAGATAGATGCTTGGGTCGGCTCGAGGATCTTGGCCCCGTGCCACAAGGCTGGCTCTTGGCTGACCGCAGGACAGAGGTGCCCTTCCGGCACCCTGCAGCGCCCGGCTTGCCTGGGACGGGAGGAGAACGCGGAGGCCGCCAGCCCACTGCCCCTCCCTCCACTGAGGTACCCTTCGATGCCCCAGGGGGCGAGGGGGGCTCCCAGCGCCCGCCTGACTCCGACCTGGAGAAGCCCCTCCCGTCTGCAGCCCTCTGTTGCCCCCTGCACGTAGGGGGTGCTGATCTTTCTTGCTCTAACTGGCAGCCCGCAGCCATTTTCCCGGGCAGCCGCCGGGCAGCCGGTCTGGTTCCCCGAGGAGGCGAGGGCATGGTGGCTGGCGGCCTTAACCTCGCAGAGGGCGGGCTTCCTCCGGGGCGGTGGCCACTGGAAGCCGGGAGTCTCGGATCAGGGGCTTTGTTCTGCAGTCGTCTGTGCCCACCGTGGGCTCCTCCCTGGCCACATGCTCTTCCTTGGGACAGAGCTGCGGGCGCCACGCCCAGCCAGGCCTCTGGTCCTGGTCCTGCCCCTTCCTCAGCTGCCTGGGCTCTTCGGGGCGCGAGCTCTTCCTCTCCTGGGGTTGACCTGGAGTGCCACCCGGTCCCGGAGGTCTTGGGAACACTGTCCAGCGGGTCTTCAGGGTTTGGGAAGAGGTTTTTCTGTTTTGTTTTTTTTTTTATCTTCAGATTTATTTATTTATGCATACAGAACTGGGGTGCAGGGGCAGTGAGAGGCTTTACCAGAGTCAGTCGGGGGCAGGGCAGGCGGATTGACAAAGTCCACAGCTGAGGGTGCATTGGGGAGACAGGAGGGGCCTGCTGCGCCCTGGGGTCACTCCCAGGCCGGGGTGGACTTGCGCTGCAAGGCTGCCCTTTCACCCGCCGCACCACCAGGGAGGGCCGCTTTGGGGAGAGTTTTACAGAAAGCTGCAATGATCTGAGCGGTTTCCTCACCTTTCCCCAGAAAGTCTCAGGAGCGCCTGCCTGGGAAGAGCCCAGGGCTTCTTCCTTCCGGCTGCCGTGGATGTGTGGGCCGGGGCCCGTTGTGGGGGTCCTGGGGCAGTGCCCATGGGGCGGGGCCAGCGCACCCCGCGTGGCCCAGAGCCGGGCTCCACTCTGCGGCCACAGGTGCGGTTTGCTCAGTGAACCGGTCCCGCAGGCTGCTGGCCGGCAGGGCAGTGTGGGGAGGGGGGCGGCCTCTGTGCCGGCCCGGCCCGGCCCGGGGACACAGAGCCAGATGCGCTTGTTTCCGCTTTCAACGCTGGTGTCAGTCCTCGGGACACTGCGGGCGCCCTGAGGCCGGCCAGGTGCCGGCCGCCCCTCACCCGCGGGCTCACTCGGCCACTGTCCACCTCGCGCTGACCTGGAGGGTGCTGGAGCATGCCGGGCCCGGCTGTGGCCCTCCCAGCGGTCCGTGTCGCTGCCCTGAGCGCGACCTGCGGGCACCGTGGGCGCCAGCACCCAGGGCCGGCTGCGGCGGTCCAGGGCCGGGGCCTGTGCCGGCCGCAGGCTTTGCGGACTGATGCCCCGACTGGCCTCTGTGCACCGTGACGGTTCCAGCGCAGAGCTTAGCGCCACCCTCCAGCCTCTCCTCTCCCCGGGCCCGCGGGCTGGGCCGCCGCCTCTGTTCGGACGGGCCGCAGGCTGGCGCGGATGTCTGAGCTCGCCCTTCTCTCCGTCACAGCCTCTTCCCGAGGAGCCTTCGGTGGGAGGAGAGCGAGTGCCTGGGTGGGCTCTGCGTCACCCTGTCTCCCTTCTTGTCCCACAGAACATTCTGCTCCTGCCAAGGTGGTGAGGGCAGCCGTCCCTAAACAGCGCAAAGGCAGCAAGGTAAGGAGGGGGTGCGCAGCCCAAGGGGGCTTCCTGGAGGTGGCAGCCCCGGTCCTGTTCTAGGGAGCATACTCAGGCTCCTCGAGACGGTGGGTCCCTTGGGGGCAACAGCATGGATTGCCCCTGTGGTCAGGTTGGTTTGGGCCTCTGTCCTGGGAGGAGCTGGCTGAGCAACAGGGCCGGGGGTCCCCCAGAGCCTCAGAGAATGCGCCTCGCAGGTTGGTGACTTCGGAGACGCCATCAACTGGCCCACCCCAGGAGAGATCGCCCACAAGAGCGTGCAGGTGAGTGGGCAGGCGGCGCGGGCACCCCGGGCGGCACTGGCGGGACCGTCGTTGCTGGGGGCCTCGCCCTGCGCTCTGCCCTCCCCACGGCTCAGCCCTGTGTCGGGCGAGGCCAGATAGGCTGGGGTCAGGTGCGTGGCCCGGGAAAGCACCGTGCTCCTTGGCCGCCCCCCACATCCTTGGGGCGTGTCTGTGGCTCCCGACCCGGTCAGGCCTCCCATCCTTGCTGGCTGTGGCCGCGGGCCCTCCTGGGGCCGGGGCCAGCCCCTCCGGCCGGAGGCCGACTCCCCGCTCCTCCGCAGCCGCAGCCCAAGTCCCAGCCCGCACGGAAACCGCCGCCCAAAAAGGACATGAAGGAGCAGGAGAGAGAAGGGGGCGAGAGTAAGGAGAGCCCGAAGGCCAAGTCGGACGAGTCTGGGGAGGAGAAGAATGGGGACGAGGACTGCCAGCGAGGGGGGCAGAAGAAGAAAGGTGGGTGTCGGGCCCGTCTGAGCCGGCCGGGGAGCCGGAGCCACGGGGAGTCCACGACGGGCGTTCGTTTCCTGCTTTCAAGGAAAAGCACCAGGGCAGCCTGGGCCCCGTGCGTGGTGCGCGTGCAGGCGGGCGGGAGGCGCGGCCCGCGCCAGGGCACTGCCGTGTGGGGGTGGGGGCGTGTCCCGAACCCCCGTCTATGAGGGCCGGGGAGGCTCAGGCGCTCCCAGCTGTGCCCGGGCGAAGGCCAGACGCCAGGGAAAGCGGCCAGCGCCCAGCGGGCGGGAGGCGCGGCCCGCCCCAGAGCACTGCCGTGTGGGGGTGGGGGCGTGTCCCGAACCCCCGTCTATGAGGGCCGGGGAGGCTCAGGCGCTCCCAGCTGGGAAGCCCGAGAGGCAGTTGCGGAAATGTGCGCCACTGCCCGCGGGCGCTGTCTGCGGCCCACGGAGGCCCTCGGGCGTCCCTGTGCGCTGCGGGCAGACTCCAGCCAGGCCTGCCGGGCGGGGCCAGAGCTGTTG